TCGATTACGCTCATCGACCTGTTTCATGTGCGCGTGTAGGATATGCAAGGGCGCGTTGGCTTTGCCAAAGAGCTTCTTTCCTCGCCTCATCCAATCTTCATGTCGCTTCTGCTCCTTCTCAAGGTCGTTCGTGCCATTGGGCTTTCCATTCAGCGCATTCAAAGACTCCATGGCGTTGCGGACCTCCATGTATTTTGGCCGTTGTGAGAAGTCCTGATTCTTGCTTCGCTCGTACAGAGACATGATCAGCTCTTGTGCATCTCGTTGCTTCTTCAATATGGCGTCCATCGCGGCTCGGGTCTCTGGTGTTACCGGCAGATTGGTTGCTTGCTTGGAGAAGGCGTCGAGTTGCTGATAATGCACGTTCTCCACTTCCATGAGCTCCTTCGCCTTCTTCTCCCAGAACTCACCTTGGTCTTTCTTCTCTTGCAAGAAGCGAAGGTCGGGATGATGCTCTGGCATGCCGACTTCAATGCCGTTCTTGATGAGTTCGCCAACTTCTTGGAGCGTCGGCGCAGGCTTTACCTTGAAGTCCTGTGCCTCTTGGAGCCACTTCAACTGCTGGACGACCTTTTCGAGAGATTCAAGCTCAGGTAGATCGACGTTGAAACCCTTGCCTTCTTCCAGGAGCTCGTCTAGCCGTGCAATGCTTTGCTCGGAAGTGCGCTCGCGTAAAGCGGTGCGTGCTCTGGTCTGGAATTCGACAATGCTTTCAGCGCGTTCTCGGAGCGTAGTTATTTCCGGGCTATCGAACCCTAGATCTTTTGCCTGATTGAGAAGCTTTTGTATGTTCTCCACATTGCGATATTCGCGATCTTTCTCGTCTGCCTCGGCAACAGCCGACTTGCTTGGCCGTCCTCTTCCCGGACGTTCTGCCTTTCGACGGGCTTGTTGCTTCCGAGTGGTGTAAGAGGTAGCTTCATCAGCAACTTCCTGGCATTTCTCGACGAAATCTTTTAGATCCTGGAGACCGTTCAAGTCCCAGTCGATCTTCTCGCCTTCGTGCAGGAGCGCACGTAGGGACTTCAATTGAGGTCGAGGCCCCTCGGAAAGCAAAGCCTCTATCTTTGCCTCCCAGACTTCGGGTGTGCTTGCTTTGTCGACAATCTTTTGTACCAGCGCATCAAGATCGGCCTCCTGCATGCGGTATACGAGCTTGTGTTGGAGCTTGGCTCCGGAGTAACGCTCAGCTTCCGGGGAGTCTTGACAACATTCAAACCACCCAGCGTGCTGTAGACACAAAACCTTCTTAGTCTTCTTGCAGTAGAAGCGAGACAGATAGCCATATGATTTGCAGAAAGCACAAATCAATTCATCCTCATGCATGTCGGCATCATCGATGATAAAGTCGAGTTCGCAGGAGCCCCCGGCATTGCCAGTACCGTCAACTTTGCAAGTATGCGCTCTCGCAGCTTTGTGTTTGTCCAGGAATTCATCGCGTATCCGTGACTCTCTGGCAAGCATTCGCTCCATCGCAGGGGCAAGCCACTTGGCAGTCTTGATGGTTGTGTCCTTGCGTGATGCTGCTGCCAGCAGTAGCTCGTCGTGAGAGAAGCATGGTTGACGGCGGTAATCCTGAAGGCGTTGAACTCCGTGCTCTCCAAATGGCTCCCAGTCGCTCGGCGCGAAGTTTACAGCTTCGTTCAAATTGAAGCCATGATTGAACCCGGCATGATAGGCTTCTGGGAAGGTTATTACAAACTCCCCAGCACGTTGGTCGATCGCATAGACTCTAACACCAGCCTTCAAGAGTTGCTCGGGAGTCAACAGCGTCACGAGCTGGAACAAGAGATCTGGCTGGCTCTCAAACAGTTCTGGTACAGCTTCACGCATGGCTTGCTCAAACTTTTCGGTGTCCTCGGCTGGTACGCCGTACCATGTCTTGGTAGCGCCAAAATGTTGATAATTTGCTGAATACGTGTAGTGGTCCTCCGCATGCCAGCAAAAGGTCGAGAATACCATGCCCACGTATAACCAGGGTACGGTCATACCTGAGATGTCGGACTTGATATGGCGGAAAAGCGAATCTGGTGCATAGGGCAGTACAGTCAAGTTCCATGGATCGGTCGAGTAGGGGTCGCGTGGGTTCTTCTCTATAGTTGGGAAGCCACTTCCGTGTGTGGTGGAATGTATGTCTGCTCCATACTCTACTTCGACTGTCTCCGTAACGTTCGCAACAGAATGCCAGAACTCACGTTCTACATCATCTTCAGTAACTGGTTTTGGCAAATTGGTGACCGGATCAAAGGCCGTCTTGCCGACGAAGTGGTTCTGCTTGAATAGCTGGGCTCGTTCCTGGAACTGCTTGAGCGAGTAAATGCCCCCTTCTTCAAATCCAAACTCGCCTGTGCCTACGAGACATCTAGGGCAGTGCCAGTCGTATGCAGGGATAGCCTTGATGGGTGGGTCCAAGCAAGAACCATGGTAACCAGCGTCGCAGCTGTCGCAAAGTAGGATATTCTGAGGGTCGTTGTCGGTACCGCAAGTCTCGCATCGGTCACCAGGTCTATCGTCGGCTGATCGAACGCGTGGGAAAGTCCGACTGGGGGTCGACTGACGAGGCTGAGTCATGTGTGAGCCCGCAACGGTAGGGGGGGCGTCCTTCTTGAGCCGCTTGCTACGTCGGCCGTTTGCTTCATCCACATCGTCGTTTGCACTGCTCTCCGGGTCCTGGGAAAAGGTTCGCTTCAGCTGGTTGAAATGCTGCCCATTGGCTAGCGGGGTCAGGCTGGCTCCGGGCGGTCTGAAGTCCGGGGTGTTGTCAGCTGAGAGCATGGGACTGCCAGCATTGCGCAAAGGTGTCGACGTGCGCGATTCCAGCACATCTCGATGTAAAGCGCTCGGTGGGTTGGCCACAGTAAAAGCACTAGGTGTAGAGGGTTGCGTAGACGGCTTTTGTGCTGAGTTCGCATTGACCGCTGTGAAGCCTCCCGAGTTCACCGGCGTGAAGCCCCCCTGCATGGCAGGCCGTGAGAGCTCTGGTGGTGGAGTAGGCACAGAGTCACTCTGCAGTGTCGCGTTCAGCGCTGCTGAGGCTCGCATAGCCGGTGACTCGGCAGCATTGGCGACAGGCGTACCCTGTAGCGATTTCTTTATGGGCGAATGGGCTGGTGACGGTGTGAAGGGTCCGCCATGCTCGTACTCCAGCATCTGCTGCACACCAGGTTTGACGAGTCGCAGATACTCCTCGTATGGGTGTAGCCACTTCTGATACGAGTTTTTGAGCGATGTCGACAGTGAAGACATTATCTTGCCGCTGTAGCCAAGGTCGCGTCCGATTTCAGCCCATTTCTTCTGCTTGCAAACACGTTCGAATCCACCTCTCTTCTCAACGGCCTTCTTGAGCTTGTAGAGATCCAAGGGGCGTTTGTCCACGCTCGGAAATCGAGTGAGGCTGTGGCCGTGTTGCTTGTGGAATTTGGCGAGCTGATCGAGATAGTTCAAGTTGGCACGCGTGCCACCTTCAACCGAGTTGAGTTCCTGTCGTCGTGTGCGGAAGTGGAAGCGCTCAGTATCGATAGCGAATGGTGGCTTCCAGCTGTCTGGTGGGACAATCTTGACGATGCCGTACTTTTGCCCTTCTTCGCGAATGCTTTGGATGTATGCCACCGGGTCCTTGAACTGCTCGGCTGTCGGTCGATATGTGGGAGATTCGCGCAGGCCAAAAAGACGGTTCTGTTTGGGTGGCAGGTGGTTTGGCGCTCCATGTCCTCTGCGCTCCACGGTAGCGAGATCCAGCGGCGCTGCCTTGCGCGCGCTCAGAGGAATCGTGCTGGCCGCACTCGGCTGCGCACCATTCGTTGCAGGCGCCGCAGCACCACCCATTCTAGATTTTGATGCGCCAGCTGCTGCGTCCGGTGTTCCACTGTCCGTGGCAACTCGAAAGGTAGTCATAGTGGCGCCCGTTGGGGGCCCGCCGGGGGGCATGAAATCGACCATAGTCTTCGTGCTCATGCATCAAGCGCTGTCGCTGCGTGCAGCCCTAATGGCAGCCTCGTAACGAGATACGAGATGGTATGGAAGGTATAGCGATTGTCGTCGGGCGTGATTCGGTCGGTGGTGGGCGCTATCGAAGAGATATAGGCGTAGGCATGGGGCCTCTACAGCGGCAGGCGACCGCTTTCGGCCGCTTGGACTGTGCAATTCACTCGTAACAGAGGCGAATACCAGTGCGACTAGAGGCTTGTCTGTTAGCGACCGTCGTGGTTGTGGCAGCACGTGCACAGCGAGGTTGGCGAGGCGAGGTGGAGGAGATATGGAGAGGATGGATGGGTCCGCTGAAGGGTGCGAGATTCCCGCTAACGGCGGATGCATATCACGCCCGCCCAACCTGGTACCGAACCCAGAACATCGAAGCTTGGTGCAGCAGGGCACGGCTAATATTATGCACGACGCTTCGACTCTGTGCGTCACATCGATGGAGACATATAGAGCATTTCAAGTCAATACATTCGTCGCATTGATGCGGCATCGAGATGCCACCTTGGACTGCGGTCGTGTGGTGAAGTCTGAGAGCTACGTCGTGCCGATCTGGCGACTGCACGCAAGGCTGCCGACCTCACCTCCTCGGCCTTTCTTTTGCGCCGCATTCTACCATGATGACGACCAGCGAACTACATTGGCTCCCAGAACAAGCACATATTGATCTGACTCAGATGCTCTCCATTGCGACTTACTTCTTCTTACTTTCCACTGTGAACACATGCATGGCCATCTTCGCCACTTGTTTGCATCACCATACCGGATCTCGAAACAACAAGCGTAACAGTAGCAGCATTGCGCATTCCTATCATATACTGTCGCGGTCTTTCTATCTCTGAGTTAAATTCACCTCGACGCCTGAACTGCTGCAGGTGAGGTCGGTAGCAAGGTTGTCTCTTCGGGAAGCACCCCAGCCCACCAATCACGACACACTCCATCTGCACCATCCCGTCAGCCCTAACTGGCGGCTGCACGCTTTGGGATGCGATCAACAATAACATCACGACTTCATCTTTGTCATGAACTCAATCATGGCCGACTCTGTCAAAATCGAAAGCCGGCCCATCCCAGCCTTCTACTGCTGCTACCTGCTCCGCTCCAAAAACCGAAAAGCCTTCTACATCGGCAGCACCCCCAATCCGGCGCGTCGTCTAGGCCAGCACAATGGCTCAAGCAAGGGCGGCGCGAAGCGTACATCGATGCAGGGGAAGCGGCCGTGGGAGATGACGTGCATCGTTACTGGCTTCCCCTCCAGAGCCGCCGCGTTGCAGTTCGAATGGGCGTGGCAAAACACGCACGCCACCCGACACATAGAGCGAGAGGTGCGCGACGCGAGGCTGGAGGAGCTTCAAAAAGGCAGAAAGAACCCATCACCAGTCAAAAGACCGCGACCACCAATGTCACTGGAAGCGCGGCTGAAGAACCTGCATCATCTGTTAGGTGTCGGGAGTTTCAGCCGATGGCCGCTGAACATCCGTTTCTTCGCCCAGGACGTGTTCGCGCAATGGGAGAAACATATCTCTAAAATGAAGACGAAGTTACGAAAGGACGTTACCATCAGAGTGACGCCGGCTGAGTTGCCCAAACTTGCACCGGATGTGCAGAGCGAGATGCGCACGCACTTCATTCCAGAAATAATACGAGCGATCCCCGTAGCGTACGAGGATTGCAAGGCACATGTCGAGAAGTCAAAGATCATTCTGGGAGATGGCCAACAACGAACCTGTGTTGTTTGCAAATTAGACACGAGTGCTGAGGACTCGCTTGCGCTGGTCTGCCCGGTAGAAACGTGCCGCGCAGTATCGCATATGGCTTGTATGTCGCAGAGGTTTCTTGCAGAGGAAAGCAATGCAGATGCGCTCATTCCAATCCAAGGGACATGTCCGAGCTGCCATACTTCGCTAAGATGGTCAGACCTGATGACAGAGCTCAGTCTACGCATGTATGGCGAAGAAGAGCTGAAAGTAATGTTCAAAACAAAGCGGAAGAAGAAGTCGGATGGAACAGTCGAAGAGGATGCGGAAGAGTTTCCAGACATTGACGAACTCGAGGTTGACCTGGACGAAGATCTCGATGAGACATGGGGGGAGAACGTGAACGATGACGAGGACAAGTGATCGTGTTTCAATCCTGGACGGCAACATCTACCACCCTTCCACCGTTCCCAGTGGCAGCTGGCCCTTTGCAACCCGCTCAATACACCTATCAACCTCCTGTCTAATCTTCGCCGCCACATCCGTCATACTCTCGCCCGCATCGATGCGCACAAAGTCCTCGCCCTCCTTCTTCTGCATCATCGTCTCGAACAGCTCGCGCACACGATCCTGCATATCCTTCCTCTCATACTTCTCAGTACCATAGCCACCTCGTTTCGCAGCGTCGTCAGCAGAGATGTCAAGGAAGAGACACAAGTCAGGACGTGGAAGCCCGACTTCAGGTTTGCGGCACCATTCGAGGCTCATGCTGGGGTTCTGCTTGGCAGCGGAGTATACGCAGCCGCTGTAGTAGTAGCGGTCTACGACGATGGTCGTTCCGGCTTCGAGGTCGGCTTGGATGGATGGTCTGGGTCATACATTAAGACATTGAGGTTGATATGTAGATGGGTGTGTTTGGCTTACACTGCTTCCCACCGGTTCGCAGAGAACAAGAGATGTATGACATGGTCGTCTTGGTCGCTCTGGCCACTCAGGTAGCTGTTGATCATCTGGCCGATCGGTGTCGTCCTATCTAGATACTACATCAGCGTTCGGCTCTATCCCATCAAACGTGCATTCGCGCGCCAGCGAATGGCTCCCCGTCTGTGTGCACGTACCAGGAAACCGCATATGCCGCACCTTGATCCCGTCATTTTGCAGGTCATCAACGAGCATTTGACATTGCGTTGACTTGCCTGCTCGATCTAGGCCTTCGAAAACTATGAGCTTGCCTCGCGCCATGTTGTGGGGTTTGTGATACAAGAGGTCGTTGCTACCCTGCAGCGATTGAAGCGCGACCGAAGCAAGGCGTTGGTGGGGCCATCGCCACTCCGGCGCTAGCGACGAACTCATATTCACGGGCGGCGTCCATACGAGCGACCTTCAATGTTCTTCCAATATGCGAAAACAGGATACGCTCCTCTTCCCATTCGTCCACGTTACATGTGCGCATCTCCTGTAAGCGATACAGGTGAGAATCCAGCAATGTGATCGAATCGAAGCAGCCAACGACCGGTGAACCGAAGATATCTCTGCAGCATGATACTTGAAGTATGCAGACTACGCAAAACCAATAACATGGCTGATTCAAGGTCGTGCGAAGTCTGACATGCATACAACGGTCCCTACTGGCCGACGAGGTTGCCTACCGCGGAGAGGAGACAAGGCTGAAGCGGGGTTTGTCTGCATTCAAATATTGCGAGAGAATTGACAGAAACTCACCTCTTTGCGACCATTAACAAATACAATGAGTAGGACCAACGTCATGGAGCCTCCTATCGTCGATCTCGCGCGACTGAACGTCAACGACGCGAGAGAAAACAATGCTATAACCGATATCGTGCAAACAAGCACGATGAATGCTGAGCCAGCGGACTGGAAAATCATGGCGTGGCAAGCATGCCAGCAAGGACGTTCTGTTGATGTCAAGTCGATCCTGAGGAACTTGGAGCCTCAAGATGTCTCGCACTTCGTCAATGCCAGGGGCGAGGACGACAACACCGCCTTGATAATTGTTGCGGCTGTGGCTCATAAAGATGTGGCATGCGCGACAATCATTCCTGTCCTGCTGGAAGCGGGTGCCGATATCAACGCCAAGAACAAAAAAGGTCGGACTGCCTTGATGGAAGCAGCACTATGGGGAGGACTAGCAGCAGTCAAAGCTCTGCTGAAATGGAAGCGAGGCGTTCCCGTCAACGCAAGCTTGGAAGACAACTTCGGACTTAGTGCCATTGAACTGGCTGGGACGGACAGTAAACTCGCAACCGAGAGAAAAAACCGATGTGCTCATGGCAAAAATGTGCAAACACTTCTGGATGGGAAACTACGGATCCGCATCGTAAAGTTGTTGAAACCCGTTGACAACGGAAAGAATGTGCCCAGATCTACTCGACATGTGGACATGCAGAAGCGTATTGAAGATGGCAAAGACAGACTTGATGCAGACATCTTGAAGGAAACCCAGGCAAAGCTGAAGGCTGCGGAAGACTTGGCTAAACGCCACCTGGCTGATCTGGAAAAGACAAGAAGGGAGCTAAGAAAGAAGGAAGGGGAGCTCGTAAGAGAGCACTCGAAGTTAATGAACGCCCAGACCGACATGAACGATGTCTACGCAAAGTTTCGACCACCGAGCCGAAGCAACGTCGACAGAGCTGGTCAAAAGCCCCAATTTAGGAAAAGAAGGATGTCTATCAACCCCTCTTGGTTCAGATTCGATTTCACGATGACTTTCGATGTCGAGCCTGTGTGGAAGGACGCAACGATGGCGTACATGAAGATAAACGAAAAACATTTCTTCGCCAAAAACGGGAAAGCTCATGACACCCAAGATGGCTACATCTCAGGAGAGGATTACTCGGCAAAAGCTTTTCAGTTACTCAAACTTTTGCGGTCTCGTCACAAGTCAACATATTCCCAGCACGTTGAGCCACAGCTCATGGCTCTATACGTGGAAGATTTTCGAAACAGCAATAGCATGACATTGGTCCAATTTACAGAGCATCAGCCTACAGAAACGCTTTACGGGCACGGTAATCGGCTGGTAGTGGAGATATTTGTCAGTGCACGGCCTTGTCCAAAATGCGTGGAGCATACGGAGACGATAAACGTAGTTGCAAGGATGCATGGTTTCGAATTTGCGCTTATGCATACTGCATGTTAGCAATGGAACTGGGAGTTCACAGTTGTTTTTAGTATATAGACATGGTATAATTCGAACCGCCTTGATGCTGGGAAAGTGGTCACTACGTGTTCGTATCGTGTTGCCAGGCTTCACGCCTCCGCCGGTAGCGCTTTATACGGAACTTCAATCCTGCCTGTTCATTGCCGCCGCGCAAAAAAATCACTGCCTTGAAACCGCATTCGGTTCTTTGCGATGCTGAGGAGATCGTGCAGGCGTATTCTTGAAAGAACTACAGGTTGCGAGCACTATCACGCTTGTTATCGAAGAGTAACAGCAAACAAGCCATGCAGCGGTTTATATGCCCACACTTTGTCTGATATTATGAGAATGATCACAGAAGCTCTCGCCATCATGTCTACACAGGCAGTCATACCCTGCGATGCCGCGCTAGAGGAGCTTAAGAGACCATGGTCCGCGACTACGTTAACAGAAACTCAACAACAGCGTCGATCAGACGTAGCCAGTGCGAAGATATTGTGGTCCCAAGTTTTGGTGGAGTTTCGGCAGAAGCAAGGAATGACCGTCAAGAATTACAATCTCAGAAGAAAGAGGCAGCCGTTCTTCCAGTTCTTAGATCTACCCGGTGAGCTTCGCAACATGATATACGACATCTGCCTGGACAACGAGAAGACGACAAGAAACCCTGATATGACGAAGAGGACGCGGGTTTATCGAGGATCAATGGGAAGCAAGAGCTTCTTAGACCACAACATACGGCAAAAGCGCGTAAAAGACATCCGCGCGCGAAAGCCGACCAGAGAACATAGGAAGCAAGATGCCGCTCGAAAAGTTGCGCTCGAAAAGATTGTAGAGAGAAAACTTAAGCTCGCAATTCGTTCGAGGGACGGACTCACAGTTGGCGCCCATGAAGCTTTCTACCTGTACAAACTGGAGCACAACATGTATACCTTGCCATCAAAGAGGGTGACAGATGACCAAAACAACCACGACCAAGGCATATTCAGGTCGGGCAACAGGACAACGAAGAAAGGTGTCCTGGAGATCGATGTCAGAGGCAACCTAGTCGACGACCTTCCGATGCTTTCCTATGTCGATCGTGCGATCTTCTCCGAAACCCTGTTCCTCTACTACTCCACGGTGAGAGAAGGGTTGTGGATCAAATGGACAGTCCGGAACCTGGACTTCTTCCCGTTCCTGCGATTCTATCAGGCATTCACCAAGGGTGAAAACGCGGTTGAAATTCCACCTTCAAGACTACACATTGAATTCGACAAGGAGAAGGAGGAGACTGATGACGGCCTACATGCGAAGAAGTTTGTCCATGTAAAGAGACTGGTTGAACTGCACTGGCTGGACGGCTTTTCGCTCTGGGGCTGCTTAACCGGGTTATCTGATCGTCAAGATTGCAAGGGACCGTTCGGAGACTACATGTACTCTGTCCGTCAGGTTGTGGCGTTGTACCGTATCGACCACGAAGCTTGGAAGTCGCTCTCTGTTGAATACCTTCGCCGTTGTGAGGAAATGGGTGATGACGACGCTTTGGAGAGTAACTTCGCAACACTCTCCGACGCCGAGCTTGTTGAAGCAGTCATCGATATGCTATGCAGAGCGATTGAGTACAACCTCGGGTACACAGGCAGCTATGGACGCATTGGTCGCGATCAGACTGAGTGGGATCAAGACATCTTCGAAACTTTCAGGTATAAGGGATCGCATGTCAAGACGGCTTATGAGAAGGAGCATGCGATTGTTCGTGTTGTCAGCCTGTATCGGAAGAAGGTCGACAGGACACTGCGGGATCGGCTGGGGGAGGTGTACGAGGATTGGGAGAGTGTTCCAGATGACGCGCTCATTCCTGAAGGGGTGGTGTTGTGATAGTACAGATAGATCGTAATATCTCTGCTTATGGCACATTGTGCGCGCCTTCTTGTTTGAGATCGTCGCGCAAAAGCCGATGCCTGTTCAACTTCATCGAGCAAACGGGACACGGAATGTCGGGGTTAACAAAGACCGGTTCCTCATATGTCTAGAACTGTAGTGCTGACATCGCGATACATCCGAAAAGTCCCCTTTGGTGTGTGATGAATCTCTCCGAGTTTGTGCCTGGCGAATCAGCGTTGGTGCTCCGGAGATCGGCCGAGCAACACGTGACTGAGATTTTGTCAGCACACCGTCGACCTACAACTTTGGTGGATCCAGGGCGTAAATCTCGACAACCCAAATTGCGGATGCCTGAATTCCGATCCGACATAAATCGCGACGTTTGCGAAGCGCAATGGAGTTCACAATCCACAGCCTCCACTATCTGAGCTGCAAGTCGCCGAATCAGAGTCAGCGGAGCTTGCTACTCTTACTACCTAGGTCCTCGCCGGATACGTCGATCACCGAGTGACCGAAGATATTCGGAATATAAGAGCAGTTGAAGACCTCCGATTCCTTCATACGAGCCTTCATTACACCTTCCAACACAAAATGTCATCACCGAAACTTATCGTTCACCACCTCCAAATCGGCCAAGGGGAGCGCATCCCATGGCTCCTCGAGGAGCTCAACATTCCTTACGAGTTGAAGCTGTACAAACGCTCGCCACTTCTGTCACCACCTGAGCTTCAGGCGGTCTACCCTATGGGTGCTTCACCCGTCCTTGAAGACCTTACCGATCCGTCCAACCCCGTTAAGATTGCCGAATCTGGCGCCATCACCGATTACATCATCCACAAGTATGGCAACGGACGGTTGGCCCTAAAGCCGCAAGACAAGAACTTCGCAGACTACCTCTACTGGCTTCATTTCGCGAATGGCTCGTTGCAGTCTGGACTGTTCAGAAGGGGCATGTCGCGCGGCATGGTTGGCGAAGACGACCCTCGTTACAAGGGCCAAGTCGCACGTTGTGATAAGATGCTGAGCCATATCGAAAACCGTCTTCAAAACAACAAATGGCTTGCAGGCGAGGAGTTCACCGCTGCCGAGACCATGACGGGGTGGTGCTTCACAACGATGCGCAAGTTTGAGCCAATGGACTTGACCGACTACCCGGGCATTTTGGCATGGCTGGGTCGCATTGGTGAGCGCGAAGCTTACAGACGCGCGATGGGTAAAG